TGCCTTGCTGGTAATTCTAAACCTGTCTTCACACTTTGCTGGTATTCTTCATCACTAAATCCCCTGCCTAGCATACTCCATAAGCATGTACCAGGAAAGTCCTCTAGTATCTGACCCAAATAGCAACACTTTATGTCCTCCAAACACTAGCCCAGCAAAACAAAATAAACCCATGTTTTTGTTGCTGTCTTCAGTGTTTGTTAGTAAGTAAATCTTGAGTTAAACTGTCTTGAAAAAATAATTATAGCCTACTAATGGGTTGCAACTAAGCAATATATCCTCTATTCTAGGCAATGACTTCTCATACGCATGTCACACAATGTAAATTGTTATATCTAAGCACTCACAGACATGGAAAGCCTTATATCTAAGCACTCACAGACATGGAAAGCCTTATATCTAAGCACTCACAGACATGGAAAGCCTTACTTATTGCATTAGGACATGTATGACCCTGGTTAGTCACTTTGCATTTAATCTCAGAGCTCTATGAGTAATCATCTTCTGGCTATCATACACTGTATCATGAAAGGCTGTGGAAAAGTTCTACAAAGTGTGAGAAATTCTTCCCCTTCAAGTACAATTTTTGGTGTCATATATTTTATGATTCCAGTACTATCCTGAAGGTCCTCATCTGCTTTTTTTCAAAAGTCAGTTAATCTTTATTATGGGACAAACACTGTAATTATTAATTTTAAAAAAATTTAGTCATATTATGATTTCACCCATGTCGGTGGTTTTTTACCAGATAAAACACAATGCCCCTGCTAGACAGCTGAGAGACTTTATAGTTTATGGTTTACAGTTACGGTATTTTCTCTGTAATATGAGGAATAAGGAATGATCCTTTGTGGGTACTTAATATAACAATCTTCTGCAACTTCTGTTGTTGCATAACTTGTCTGTAAAATTACAGGAAAGACAATGCCCACCTCTCTATCCCCACATACCCATTTAAGTTACACCTTATCTATTAGTACAGAATACTTCATTTATTACCTTCATGATATATCCCACCTAAACATTTTTTTCCTGCAGTTTTTAGAGAATTTGCAATTTGGTCCATGAACAGGCATAGCCTCATCATCAGTAGGGGAGTATGGAGAATAGATCCCTTATCCTTTTTCCTTTTTGTGAGGCGGTAGATGAGGAAAAGACCCAGGCTCTGCATACGGCTATGGGTCTTTGTCTCCTTTCAAATAACAGAAGGAGGACTGCCAAGTCGGAGAAAACTTGTGGTGTAGCACTGTATGAATAATGCACGAGTGCTTAGAGGCTGATGGTGGGAGAAAGGAGCATGGAGTAAGTATGTATGAAGGGAAAACCACAGTCTATTCAGACCAGGGCAGAAAAATCTGTATTTGCTTGAACCACAATTCATGTCAATTACAGAGAGTGCCTAAGTATCACCCCTAGACCATCTTCCACTGGAAACCCAAGGTATTTGTTGCACAGACTGTACAGCATTGTTGCAGTTTCCTGTCACCTCGAGCTCTTGCTTCTATTGATGCAGAAATGTTTAGGACAAACAGCTACAGTCAAAATTAAATTTAAATTACTTTGTCTTACCTGCAGGCTTTCTTAGTGTCTCACTTCCACTCTCTCCATGCAGCAGCATATGTTAATTTTCCTCATTTTGGCTACAAGCTCAGCAATGCCAATTTTCTTCCTCTGCACTTTCACTGCAGGACAGAGGCAGGACCATCACAGGAGCACTAAGAACACAGGAGAGAGTGTCTCTGTTTGCAATTTTACAGTGGCCTGCAAACAACTCAGAGGAGTTACCACAGAGAAAATAATAATCTCTGCACAGCTGGACTGGCTGTAGCATCTACAGCCACAGATTTTTTTGGCTGATAGAGACACTATCAGCTAAACTCCACAAAGTCTTTGCTGACTGCAGACCACCACAGAGGATTTTCATCAGGTTCACCTTGAATACACCAAGCTGCTCCAGAATAGAGGGTACTAGAGAGGCATACAGGCAAAACACGATTATCATTCTGCGAAACCTCTGTGCAACTTTTGCTGTAACATCTGGGATACAATTGTTGTAACAAGGGAAGTTTGATCAAGTCTTAAATAACTAAAAGAAGAGCTGTAAACAGAACGTTAAGGCTTTCAGTAAAGATTTCTGTCAACTGCAGGCAAGAAACTAGTTTGGGATTTCCCTTGGGTAAAACTTTATAGTAAATTAGATTTGAGCATTAGTAAGTACTAGCAAAGTTAAGGAAGTCTGGTGAGTCCCATTCTTTTTGCTAATAGAAGAAAATAAGAATGGAAAAATACCTCAGACTGCATTAGCCCAAAACTTCTAACTGCCGTCAAAGGGAAGCACACCAACCTCTCCTACATCTGTAAGACAGAATGACATCTTTAAGTTTATCAATCCATTGATTTAATTTGTTTTGCAAGCTGGGGTCAGCTTGCAAATCATGGGCCATTTAAAGAAATATTTACATCAACTCTCTGTGTCTTAAGAATTAAAACGAACAGTGGTTGATAGCACAAGTAATTTTGCCAAGAGTATTTTGGATTAACATAATCCATGTTTTCACCTCTGTTCCATCTTTCTACGTATCTTGAAAGGGCAGACACAAACTCAAGAGAAGTAGCTCCTACCCTGCTAAACCACCCTCCTGTGAAGAATACGGGTACTTACTTGAAGAACACATAGAAACATTTAAAGAATCTGACTCAAACCCTCTAACAGTACGCAGTCATGCAATCAGTTTAATTTCTCAAACATTTCAGTTGTACCACAGTCCTTGGCTTAAGTCCTATGTTTTTGTCATGCAGAAGAACTTAATATGAAGACTATCAAGCTGGGAGCCTCACAGCAAAATTAATCTCCAATACAAATACCCTTTGGTCAAGAGCAGGCAGCAACCAGAAAGTTTCTTCATGGACTGTTAGCGTAAGGTTTTGCAGGTTGCATATTTAAAACCTTTGATCAAGGCTGAGGTCCAGCAATCTATCTTGAAACATAAAGTGTAATCAGATGAATTTCCTGCTCCAGGAAAGTTGAAGTTGGCTTCCTGACTTGGAACCACATCCTCAGACCACAGACCTCCTGGTCTGCGGAAGTTGCTCTGAACGAACTCGGGGTGCGCAGTTGTGGCATCTCCTCTGATCTAAGCTCCCTACAGTACCAAATACCTCTGCTGTCAAGAAATACCTACCTGCAATTTGTGTATACCAGGTAGCTGACCAGCAGGTGGCTGGGTTGTATCACACATGCAGCTCCAGAGACGTGCAAAGAGCTTGGTATGGCTTCAGTGCAAACCAGTCTTCTTCCTCTGCCCAAAAATGAAATACTTATTTACAAATTTAATTAGGTTGCCAAATAGAAGTTTTTAAAAGCTGTTAAATGCAATACTGTAAATGTGAATTGAAGCACCAGTCATTGTTCAGCCAACACAACCCATCAGAAAAACCCCAAATGATTCAGTATTATTAAAAAAAAAATTTGTGGTAAGTAGTCCTTTTGGAGGAGAGTTAGTAACCTTCTGACACCTCTCAGGGAAGTCAGCAGAGCCACCTCCTTCTTTTAGTGGGACCATGGCATTCTTAGTTGAACAGCAAAAAGAGCAGAAGCTCTACATAAAGCGCTAAGTTTTGACCTCATCACATTTCAAAACCTAAGCAGGATCAGGACAGGAATCCCTGAAGTCCATGAGGTAACCAGTACAGGCCTGGTAACAAAGGTACATGGGATATGTAGCAAGCAAATCCTGAGTAGTTACTGAGCAAATCCAGCTGTAAGTGTGCTGTGCTGCTGTGCAGGTGGTAATTTTCAGCCAAGACACACATCTTCATCACTGGTGGCCAGATTACTCCATGGCACTTTGACAAGCGTGGACAGTTGCCTCAGTGGCTCCTCAGCATTTCTGTAATGAAAATCATCTTCGCTAATTATCTGCTGTAATTCTAGCCAAACACAGTCCTCTTCTGCTACCCAACTGCTAGGTAGCACAGTCATATGTTGTTTTAGCAGTTGCTAGCTTTTCAGCACACTGGACCACTGCACACTTAAGGATTGAGGAGAAGAAAAACAATCAGCACTTAAGTGAAGGAATGTTGTCAACAACAGGGACACTGCCATGACCATATGTTCCACCTACTGAAATGTTTAGTCAACAGCAATCTTGGATGTGGATATGTTTTCAGCAGGACTCTCTATTATAAAAGAAGGAAGACAATTTGTGTCTCCGCTTTCCAATTCAAAGCTATTGGAATTCCTGAAGGACAACTGGAAATACATAAGCGTGTTTCACTACCAGGAATCTTATTTCCAAAAGCACTTCCCAAAATGTCATCACACAATAAAAATTTTAAGCGATACAACTTCAAAACCTAACATAATTCAGCTATTTTCATGATTATTCTACTTCCAAAATGATTTAAACTTGCTCTGAAAAGTAGGAATGATAAAGTTAAAGGAACCTCAAACTTTCAAAACCACACTGCTGTCATAAGAATATTTAAACAAATGCACAGACACCATTTTTAACAACTTTATTGGTTTAATAAATGTTGTACAAAATTAGTCTCTGGAACATCACAAGAACAAGAATTACACTGTAATTATATTTTGTTTACCATATTTTAGCAGAGGAGGTACAATTTACTATTTTTCCAGAAAACAAACATTCTTAAAATCTGAAATAGATACTGATTTTAAAAAGCAGCGCAACAGTATTCCTTGTTTCACAGCAAGAGCCAGAAATACAAATCTCTCACTTTTTCTCCATTTCGTTTGAACCTGAGGGTGACAGAACTATACTAATAAAGCTTAATTTTGCATTTTTATACTGCCTAACTGCAATTCTTTACAAAACATGTTCAGAATAACAGCAGTAAAACCAGAAGGATAAGAAAGTATCTGAAAGGCTCAGTGGCTTGATACTTTCAACCACAGTAACAGATGGCTGAAAGTGTGAGGGGTTTCAGTACAAATGTACAAGTCATAAAATCAAAACCCATTCCAAGCAAGGCGGTCACGTTTTTCGTTCCTTGAAGAAGTCTGATCCTTTCAACTCTTCTGGTAGATAGTCCTGCTCCACAGGTTCCTTGTACATGGGGTTGTATTTATAACCTTTACCATAGCCCAAGTTCTTCATCAGCCTTGTTGGGGCATTTCTCAGGTGCAGCGGAACAGGCGGCAGAGGTCCTGTGTGCATTCTCAGACATTCTTTGACATTGCTATACGCCCTGTATACCTCTATAGACTTTGGTGCTCTGGCAAAGTACACTACACATTGTGCTAGAATGACCTGGAAACAAGAAAAGGGAAAATGTTAAACGACTTCTTTTAAGCTCTTTGCAAAAAGGTCTGTTATTCAGGTTGGTTGTGTAGCATGCCAGGGATTATGTTTTTAAACTGACCTCTCCCTGCTACTATAGTATGAATACTATTATTTAACAACAACACAGCTCTTCACAATTTTCACTACTGGAAAGGAATAGATACTTTAAAATATCAGAATATATTATTTTATTTGTAACAGAGAGAAAAAAAAAAGGACAGAGCAAAATGACATTGGTTCACATACACCATTATAACAATAAATATGCAGTGAATTTTATTTCAAACTACATCTATTTTAAGAGCTACAATGTTCTCTTACTTGTCAAAGAAGAGGCGTGGTGAATGAACAAGTAACTAAATTTGCCTTGGTCTTTCAATCTCTGCTTCTTTTTATAATTACAGATAGGTTTTGCAGTATGCAGTACTTTCAGATCAGTAAATTAATGAAGCCTTTACCTCACATTCTGGCATTCCAATGAAGTGACAGCCTTGATAAGCAGCAACTGCTTGTGTTAAAGCCAGAGGATCGGCCAGCCCTGCAAAAAGGGATCAGATAAAAGCAGGTTAAAGTCAGTTTACTTTAGTTACGGTCTCTTTTTCTTTCAAAGTTGCTTTATCAGATGCTGGAACTTCTGGTATAACACTTTGCAGTATGTAAGATATACTCCCTCCATCCACAGACTTCCTTCTTCTGTCCACCCCCCCAAAAGAAAGGTCTAAATTTTAGGTATGATTTTCAGACTGAATCTGTTGCCACATGGTGGCAGCCTGAGCAGTAGCTGCCCGTGTATGGTTCACTTATTTTTTGGAATTGAGAAAGAAATGGGGAAATACTGCTATATAGACAATGCTTCCCCAGATCTCGTAACTCTTCACCCATCACATATGTGCTAAAAGTGTTGCTGCGTCTGTTACTTTGGATAAGTCAATCAAGATGCCTTACAGCTAGGGAGTCAGCTATCAAATCTGAGGTTTGCAAGTCAGGGTAGGCATTCACCTTCCAGAGTCATTAAAAAACCAGACACCCCTGAAATACACGTTCTCTGTGACACAAGTTTACTGGTGACTACAATCACCAGAGTTTAAAAGAATCCATATTAATACACTGCCAAAACTTCACCTTAAAAACATTTGTTTCTCCTGCAACAGGTAATCATCACAATGACACCACATGTAGGTTTCTGCATACACAAAGTTTTTGTTGGATGTGGAGCATTTCAGTATTTGGTACCTATTTTGCACATAGCAGTTTTGGGGTTGGTTTTTTTCTCAAACACCAATTTTTGGAAACGAGAAGTCTGGCAGGTCTTCATTTGACATAATATTCCAACATGAAATACTGCAAATACTGACCTATATCTTCACTTGCAAACCTCACCAGCCTCCTTGCCACGTAGAGTGGATCCTCACCACCTTCAAGCATTCGAGCAAGCCAGTAAAGGGAAGCATTTTCATCCGAGCCTCTCATAGACTTATGCAGGGCAGAGATGCAATTGTAATGTTCTTCTCCTATTTAGAATGGGGGAGAAGAGATACCCAAAGCTGTTAGGAGGAAATTAAGTGAAATGCATTTAAGGGAACAGAATATATTTTACTAGATCACAGCAGATAAACATAACATGCTTTTTCAAGTTCTTTTTATGTATATGTGATTATGGTGGTCATTAATATTTTCAACATCTTCATGCTTTGCCACATGGATCATTTCACTAACTATATAAGCATAAGATGCAGATGCAAAGGAGGGTGGTTTTTTAAACATTGCAAGGCAAACTATTTGGTTTTGGTATCCAAATGACCTTTCCTTCAAAAGAAAAAAAAAAACCAAAACCACAGGTATTTCAAGCAGTTAGGAAGAAGACTCTATAAAAATATCTCCTAATTGACAAAGAATAAAGCATGAGCACATACAAACCACTGACCATTGCTTTTGGACATGCACACAGCTCTGAGAAGACAACAGAAGAATCACAGAAATCCAGTACTATACACTAGTGATATTTTAGAAAAAGAAATTTCACATCAACTAAAACTTGAAAATGAAGTGTGCAGTAAATCAAACACGAGCTTGCTGTAGTATATAGGGGAAAAACGGAAATGTTGCTGTGGATATACAATGATGGCACATTACACAATCTGGAGGAAAAAGGATTGCAGCACACAACCCTGGCAAACCCCTAAGAAATGCTGAGTTCACTTGTGGATACCTGCACTACTGGAAGGGCCCTGAAAACTGTAAGCAGCTGAAACAAAAAAAAACATGAACAAAACCTGAAATGCCAGACTGCTAAATAAGGAGTGGGAAGACTGAATGAATTACAAGGACCTTTTTTTTAACATTAAAGTTTAATATAAATCAGACATGGACTCCAAGGAGAAACAAAGCCATTCCACAGATCTTTTAGGGCCACAGTTAAAAACAGAGGGTCAACATTATGGACACCGAGTGAAACCCTCCTTGCTTGCAATTTTTCTTTATGCAGCTGGTTTTGATTCTTATGCATTTCTTTTAATCAAACTTTTTGCTGCAATATTGTTGTTAAACTTTCCACATAATCTGTCTTTTTTATTTTTTGAAGTGCCTGGCATTCCTTGGCCCACAGCTAAGTGTGTATCATAAAGGCAACTGGCTGCAAGCACAGCCATCTGTTAATACTTCTCTTCTTCCTATGGCTAAAAGGATTTACAACCCGAGGGACGTATCAGAACACATCACTGTCACTTGTAGACCCTGCAAAATAAAAGGCTGCATGCATGAGTTTGAAAACCAAAGCTCCCATACCACTGCAACTGCTTCTTTCACAGCCAGCAAGACCTCCACCTCCCAGGTCAGAAACTGGGTCCACCTTTCTGCATTGCTACTCACGCTGCAGTGGTTCTGTGGGGAATTCAACACATGCGCTGCTGGCACATGCAGACCAGCAGACAGCTATTTTTGCTAGGACTCCACACAAAGAGCCCTGTGGTATGCAGTCATTACTCATGCCAACACAAACAGCGTGTCTGTGCTCCGTCGTAACACTTGAGTTAGTAGCAATAAACCCAAGCAGCTGAACTCGCATCGTCCTCTTGGAAGAGGCGTCTCTTGGTCTCTTAAAAGTAAGGAAGATGGCCTTTAAATATCTCCAGAGGTTGCATTCACCCAGATATTTTTTGCTGGAGTGCTTTTATACACTGTTTGGGCTACTGTAAAGTGCCATATCTGGGGATTCCAGCTGGAGAGGCAGAAGGAATCCAGCGATTACGTTGCGACTAGAGATACATACCTGCACGGGACTTCAGAGCACACAGGCTGAGAAAGGGGACAGTTTTCTCCCTTTATCTCCTTCCTCACAAAGTTAAGTGTTGGTGACTGAGTCATCAACATAATGACAATATGTATATATTATACTTATTATTTATTATATTTTTATATACTATATATT